TTGCCTTACTCCAAATCACCCCAGGGCCAGAAAATTAACAATTAAAGACCACCTTGTTACTCACAGCCTAAAGAAATTATTCAAATGTGCCTACCCACTCATTCTTCCATGCTGAAACCACAATAAAGCCTCTGAGCCATGTTCTCCATTTGCTCTTTTTGCCTCCTGACTCACCCTGGTGCTTCCCCATATGGCTCTGCATATGGCATGTTCCCTTCTCTTAGGAACTGCAATAATTCTTTGAAGGCAGTTGTCTCCACGTCTGTTGCCTTACTGTATTTGATTAAATCAAAATCCTGGGTACATTTGTAAACAAAACTCTATCCAATATCATGTGAATTGAGTTTTTTGTCTGGCTGGTATGAATAGGCACTATTCCCAGCCCTGAGTAATGCCAAGCACTCATCTAATCCGTTTTCATGATCCTTTCCCTAGTCTCAAGTTTGTTCCCGCAGTCATGTGCTAATCTGTACTCTGCTAGATATTCAAGAGGGACCTTCTGCAGCTCTCCTGGGTTCTCTAAACAGCTTTCTTCTTTGGTATTTTGACCTGTGAACACTAGCTGCTCAGGCCTCTCTGAATCCTCGACCTAGGCAGTCTGTAAGGTCCACTTCAGTCCTCTTCCCCTGATGCCATAATCTGGAAACTCTTACAGGGCTTTAAGTTGCAGCAATTGTAGAATTTCCCTTATAAATAAATTTCCCAATTCTTAGAGGGACTACTCTGCTCCTGTTTTCCAGGCACATATAAATCTAGGCAATTACCTTCCTCTTGGCCACTAGCAGGGAAAAAGAGAAAATCCTGTATGCTTTTCTTTTTTTTCTCTTGTTTAAAAAGATTATGGAATGTCCAGCAGGGGAGTTTAGAAGGGGGGTAGTCAGTAACAGGGAATCAAGTGACTCTAAACCTTCCCTTATAAGAAACCAGAGGTCTGGAGAGAAATGATAGTAGTAGTAGTTAGAATCAAAATCTGTTAAATCTTGGTCTAGTTATCTTTCCATCAGATCATCTTTTATTCTCCCCCTACTGCCTACAGTACTAGGGATCAAACCCAAGGCCTTGCACATGCATGCTAGGCAAGTCCTCTACAACATTATATCCCCCAGTCCTTTTTTGGTTTATTTATTTATTTTTGGTCCTGGGAATTGAACCCAGGGGCATTTAACCACTGAGCCACATCCCCAGACCTTTTATGTTTTATTTTGAGACAGGGCCATGCTAAGTTGCTTAGGGCCTTGCTAAGTTGTGAGGCTGACTTTGAACTCATGACCCTCCTGTCTTGAGTTGCTAGGATTACAGGCATGCACCACCATGACAGCTTTGGTTTAATTTTGAGAGTCTTGCTAAGTTGTCCAGGCTCACCTCAAAATTGTGACCCTCCTACCTCAGCCTTTTAAAGTAGCCAAGGGATTATAGGTGTGCACCATGCATCCAGCTCTCATCCTTTATTCTATATCTTCTTTAATCTCACCTAGGTATTTTTCATTTAAAGTAACATAGGGCTGGGGGTATAGCTCAGTGGTAGAGCACTTGCCTAGTGGTAGGGCACAAGGCCCCGGGTTTGATTCCCAACACCACAAAAATAAAAATTTTAAAATAATATGTTTTCAAAGAAAATGTTTTCTTTAGAGAGAACATGCTTAAATGTTCCTATTTAAACTTGTTCTTAACTGCTCTTCCCCAACTGGGCAAAAAGCTGGTACCTTATTCTCTAGCAGGAACAGATTTGTGGACAAAGGGACCTTTCTAGAATCAACTTGAAGTTAATATTACATAAAGAAGATCAAAAGATAAGAAAATGGCAAGGGGGTGCATGGTAGAGGCAGTAAAGATAAGAACAGAGGTAAGTCTGAATAACAGAAATTTCAGAAAAAAAAAGACAGACAAAAAAAAAGGAAGAAAATCATTAGCAAATAATTTAAGAACATTTCCCAGAAACAAAGGACAAGAGTACATCTTGAAAGAGTTCATCATGGGCCTGTCACAAAGCAAGAAAATAGATGATCATCAAGGTATGAACACCATGCAATTTCATGATGCTACAACAGAAGGTAGGGGGAAAAAAGGTCATATACAAAGGATCAGAATGGCTTTTGACTCAGAATGGCTTTAGACTCCTCTACAGCAAGGCTAGCTACTAGATGACAAAGTAGCAATGCCTTCAAAACTCTGAAGCAAAACTAAACTAATTCGGGCTGGGATTGTGGCTCAGCAGTAGAGCACTTGTCTAGCACATGCAAGGCCCTGGGTTCGATCCTCAGCACCACATAAAATAAATAAATAAAATAAAGGTATTGTGCCCAACTACAAATAAAAAATAAAATATTAAAAAACTAAACATCCCAACTCAGAATTTCATATCTAATAAAAAATGTGAAAGAACATTTTCATACACATAGTCTCTCAAAAAAACTACTTCCCACATATCCCTTTTATCCCCCCCCCCCCCCAAGGGAATAAACAGAGGAAAAAGGTCACAGGAGACTCAAGTTAATGATACCAGTTGAAACAAGATGATAGTGGGCGGATCAAGAATAATATATAAATAGAGGAGGCATCAAGGTCTTCAGATAAGACTAGAGTGTTGACCGGAGTTCTATTTGTGATATATAGAAAACTAAGCAAATAAAATGTGGCTCAAGTGGTATCGTGCTCGCCTGGCATACGTGCGCCCCGGGTTCGATCCTCAACACCACATACAAAGATGTTGTGTCCGCCGAAAACTAAAAAATAAATATTAAAAATTCTCTCTCTTTAAAAAATAAAAATTAAAAATAAATAAACAAAATGCAAGAGGACTATTACTTCTAGGAGAAAGTTCTGTAGTTTAGTCTAATACATGGATCAGAATTAATAATTTACCCAATCATAATTAAACTGAATATGACTGACTCAGAATTACAATCAGGGAGATGGGTAGTACATACAAGGTATGTGTAGGAGGCAGAGAGATAATTCAAAATATAATGCCTAAAAAAGAAACAGAAAGTAGCCACGCGAATGAGTTTATGTTGAGACAAATCAACCAAGACTTGAAAAAGACTGTCTTAAAGCAGGAAAAATGAGAGAACGAGGCAGACAGGGCAGGAGAGCTGTTAAATATAATTAAACCTACAGAACCATGTTTTCAATTATGTGGTAATGACTCTTTCCCCCTGAAATGTAGGATATAAAACTGCTTAAAAGCTGGATGCAGTTGCGCATGCCTACAATCTCAGCGGATTTGAAGGCTGAGGCAGGAGGATCAAGAGTTCAAAGCCAGCCTCAGCAACTTAGTGAGGCCCTGAGCCACTTAGCAAGACCTTGTCTATAAATAAACAAAGAACAAACGGGGGTGGGGGACACCCCCCCAAACTAGTTAAAAAGCCCTTTTAGATTACTCTTGTTTATGACTTATACAACTTTGAAACTGATAGTATAAATATTTAATTAGAAACAACCATACATGAGAACCCTCTTCACTTTTTAGTATCTAGGAAGGGAGGTAGTTTCTGTGTGTGCAGAATGATGCAAGACTGGTATTATTGCATGATTCTAGGGTCTAAAGTTAGCTTTTCACATTCAGGATGTAATTCATTACTATTAAATATAATGTACCACTAATTAAAGTCTTATCTAAGCTGGGTGTGGTGGTGCACACCTGTAGTTGCAGCTCTTTAGGAGGCTGAAACTGACTACTTGAGTTAGAGATCAGCCTGAACAACATAGGGAGAGTCCATCTCAAAAAAAAAACAAAAACTAGCAGGGTGTGGTAATGTATGCCTATAATCTCAGTGGGGATCTCAAGTTCAAGGCCAGCCTCAGCAATTTAGGAAAGCCCCAGGCAATTAGGGAGACCCAGTAAAATTAAAAGGGCTGGGTAAGTACCCTTTTCTCACCAAAAATATTAGTAACAAATTAACTCCTGGTCAAATCTCAAACAAATGAACTCTTTCAATTCCATTCACAGTGAACAAGTTCATCTGAGATGGCCACCAACCCCACAGCCCCTCTGGGGAAGAGTTCTGCCTAGAGAGGACATCAGACACATGTTATCCAAATCTGTTTGGAGCAGCTGAAGCACCAGAAGGGACACGGGCTGATAGGAGGAGATAGTCTTTGAAACTTTATTTAAATGTGCCTGTTTTATTTGATCAACTTGCTGATGCTTGTTCTTTAGAAGTACTTTGTAAGAATCCTGGAAACTGATACTTCTTGGTAATGTTATGATTACAAGACAAAGCTTGTTGGAAAATTACTACTTGATGCCAGATTAACTGACGTTCAACTTTCTTCTTCCTTTTCCATTACTTGAACAACCTTATTTAATAAGCAAATTCTAAGGATAAAAAACTGATCCCCTTTTCTCTTGAAGATTTATGTTGTAGCTCATCCTGTACTAAACCCTGGCCAGACTTCTTTTCAGTATTTGACTTCTTTGAGTTGTTCTCAATCTCTGGATTTTTGTCACAATTATTTGCTTTGCATATCTTATCCTCTCTAATTTATCTTTTGTACATTAATGATTAATGTGCCAATCAATGCTGAGATGCTCTGATAAATTCCTAAGGATTTGTTCCGCAAAACCACCACAACACTGCTTATGTAGCCAGGATAGGAGCCACAAATATCTTCTGAATTACTTTGTAGATTTACATTACTTTTCCCAAATCCTGAACCACAAGGATTACCAGACTACCAGAGGTCACAGTACTGGACTTTTTCACAAGTCATATTGGCCATGTGTTGCTAAAGCTGAGCTGATGACATTTCCACAAAAGGCAACTGAACAAGGCACCACATTAAGCACCTGCATCCGAAGACAAAAGAGACAATCTGTGTTCTTGGAGCTTCTTGAGGTGGGCTTTTCTGGGCTCAACCAACTAGCCTGGAAAAACAGCTTAAACTCTTACCCATAGGTGTGTTATTTCAAAGTATTGGCATTCTTCCAAGATACCTCCCAGGGTGTCAAAATTTAATCTGCTGCCAAAGCAAACTCTAAAATGAACACAAAGTCCGTATTTTCTCAAAAAACAAAATAACCAAATTTATTTAGTTTGACATTTCCTCTGATCTAAAGAGAAAAATGTCAATAAACAAAACAAAAATCCCCAAACAAAACCTAGGACATACATACAGGCACCTATCCCCATGAATTCAGATAATCTAAAAGAAGAAGAGTAAAGTTCTGTTCAACAGAGAAAATTATCTTCGTTTTTGGAAGATGTTTCCACGTCCCATTCCACGTCCTCTTCCTCTTGCAGCCACTGAAAGGAATAGAATGATGAGAACAGGTCAGTGTAGTCAGTGCATGTTCACAACATGGAGCAGCTTAAATCCTGGGACATCAGCTCTGGAAGGGACCTGAAAGGCTACCTGACTGAACATTTCCCTGACCCATAGCACTTTATAATAAGGGGATGAAGACCCAGAGAGGGCTGGGGGGGAGGGGGTGATTACTGCCATTAGAGCAGGAGCCAGCACTTAGATTCCTGCCTTCTAGTCCAGTGATACAAGAGGTGAGAGGCAGTACAGAGAGAAAAGGTGGTCTTGAGGACACAGAAAAAAAGATGAATTCACAAGGCTGGGCTAGGCCAAGCAAATAAAACGTTACAGATGCATTTAATTCACTTTAAAAATCTGAAACAAATAATTTGGACCTCTGTAACACAAGAAGTCTAGGAGGGCATCAGAGGATTTGAAAAACAAATGAAAATATTCTGATGGCTACGAACTGGAGTCTCACCCTTCTCTGCTCTTCCAGAGCCTGGAGCTGTCCTGAAGAGGGAGGAGAGTTCCATGAGAACCCATCCACCTGATGACAGGACTAGCGCCAGGGTCTGAGAGAGGCACAGGTGGTTCAGGCAGAAGTCAGAAGTGTAGGCAAACTCACTGCCAAGTGCCTTTTAGTCCATAGCCAGCCAGTGCCCCTGTGGCTGGAGAAATGGTGCAGCTCCACTAGGTCAATCATGGCAACCAAAGGGCAAAAGATTTATTTATTTTTTTTTTTGTACTAGAGATTGAACTCAGAGACACTCAACCACTGAGCCATATCCCTAGCCCTATTTTGTATATTATTTAGAGACAGCATCGCACCGAGATGCTTAGCGCCTCGCCATCGCTGAGACTGGCTTTGAACTCATAATCCTACTGCCTCAGCCTCCCCAACTGCTGGGATTACAGGCGTGCGCCACCTTGCCTGGCTTAACTGTTGTTTTTTTGAGGGCATTATAAAAGATTACATTATTGTATCTTTAAACTCAAAGCTATATCACTATCAAATATGTAAAATATGCAGCTAAAGATACAAACGAAGGATCCAAGGCCTTCCTTGACTGTAAATCTTTGCTCCACACTAGGCAGTTTCTAAGAGATAACACTTGCTTTCTTACCTAACAATGTAGCAGAACTCTAAAGGGGCCCAAGTATAAAACCTGACTAGGCTAACCTTAAGAAAAGCAGCCTGGCTGTCACTAGATAAAGGCTGGTACACTTCTAGAATGTGCTAAAAGAGGGATTTATTGTCAAATATAAACAGCTTTGAAGCTACAAATCCTGGGACTGAGGAATTAGCTCAGTGGTAGAGCACTTTTTTAGCAGAAGGCTCAATCCTCAGCACTGCAAAACAAAGAAACTGGAAGTCTAGCCCATTATTGGGTAAAGATGGCTCAAACACGTATTCCTTGTCTGGAAATGGATTCCCACTGTTAGCATCTCACCAAGTACATGCTGGATATCAACACATATCAACAAGTCTTTCTAGGAATGCTGCCCCCGACTGCTTCAAAAATCAGTTCATTCACATCCTGGTATATCTCTGCTCTGCAAACTAGGTAAGAGCAAACTATCCTTAGGCCTCTTAGATAGAACTTCTGAAAAGGAAGGCCCTTTAATAAAGGTATAATAGAAGATTTATTATCTTAAATGATAGGAAGTTCTGCCTAATTTCTAAAGAGCCACTTTGGATTTTGCATAAGCCCTATAACTGGGATCAGATCAGGCAAGACCCCACCATTTCAGAGGGGAAATGGGTGCAGGGAAAAAGGGTGGTACTGGGTGTGAAGACAGCTGAGGTCAAGTCCACCCCTGCCCATAAGCAGTAACTGGACCTTTTCCTAAAATACAGAAGATAAACTCTAATTTAAAAACCCATGCAGGAGGAGCACCTACCTTGGGCCTTCAGAATAGCAGCTTTCCCCCTGCCAGCCCCTGAACCTTGATTTTTATTTTTCATGCTCTTTAACATGGGTGCATTTTTCAGCATGTCAGGCAAAATCAGGAAGCGGATCTTGCTGCCACGGATGTACACCTGTTCCAGTTGTGCTACTCTGCCATCTCTGTATGTGACTGTGATGTTGGACATCTGGAAAAAAAATTACCAGCTTATCAATAAGGGTCAACAGCATGCCAATTGTGGTGGTGCATACCTGTAATCCCAGCAACTCAGGAGGCTGAGGTAGGAAGACCACAAGATTGAGGCCAGCCTCATCAACTTAGTGAGGCCCTAAGAAGCTTAGAGGGACCTTGTCTTAAAGTAAAAAATAAAAAGGGTTGGAGATGTAGCTGAGTGGTTAAGTGCCTCTGGGTTCAATCCCTGGTGCACATACACACCCAAACCAAAAAAAAAAAAAAAAAAAACCAAACAAACAAAGAGAATCGATTAATAGCACTAATAGAGAACAGATGTTTTGACTGGTGGGATAGGGGAGTCTAGAATTGCAAAAACTGACATTGTGCGATAAAGGAACTAGGCAATGCTGGTGAACTATCACAATAATAGTTGGTACTACTGTATGCGCCAGGGACTGCATTAAGCAGGGTAGGTATAAGCTCTTCAACTTTCACAGATTAAAAACCAGAACAAAACAAAACAAAAAAACCATGAATGTGTACAAGGTCAAAGAGCTGGAATGCAGGGGGCAACAGTTTGGAAACAGATGGCCTGGTTCCAGAGCCCCACCTCTGCTGACTATACTGTCTCCTGGGCCAGTATATGAAAAGTTCTTGATGATGATAAACCCTAATTCAAACGTTTTGTTTTGTTTTTTAAAGAGAGAAAGAGAGAGAATTTTAATATTTACTTTTTAGTTATCAGCGGACACAGTATCTTTGTTTGTATGTGGTGCTGAGGATCGAACCCAGGGCGCACGCATGCCAGGTGAGCACGCTACCGCTTGAGCCACATCCCCAGCCCTCAAATGGTTTTTAACTGCTTATCCAAACCATGTCCTCTCCTGCACCTTCCTGGAACTCAGATTACAAAGGTACCATGAAAGTTACAAGCATAGGCCAGATCTAGTTCTGACTCTCCTATAGTACAGGGCCCAAGAAGTGGAGATGGCAGTACCACTCCCAGGGTTTGCAATACTAAAGAGGCATGAGGCAAAAGCTTAAACAAGAAGGAGGGCACTCAGGCAGGAACTTTTAGAATGCAAGGACTGGGTCCTTGAGTCAGAATCATGACTGAGGATAGGGTCATCACTTTAGAGATGAATCACTCAAGTTTGTGGACAGAGAAAGGGCTAACAGGATTAAGGCAACACTTTAGGAAGTGGAATGTGCCAACATGCGCAGTTGTGGGCTGGAGGGAGGGAACCTCTAGGTGAGAGCAGCCAGCAGACATGCTGGGTGTGGGAAGGAATACAGATCTGCCAGTATCAAATTCAATAGATGCCACATTTAAAAAAGTAGTCTTCTGAATAGAGGAGAGAATTATCTTTGTGTGTGTGTCCAATTTCTATTCATAAAGTTCCAGTACATCTTTTTTGTAAACTATTTAAAATGGGATCACTTTTCAGAAACTACACAGATGTATCATGGGTGAACAGCAAAGGAATTATAGATGAATCTGCATTGTTTAGCTTCTCCTCATGCCATCTGTGTCCAAGGGAAGGCCTGACATTGACTAATTAGATTTTGAGCTATACTAATACTGGTAGTAAATCTGCCTATCAGTAGATCCTTCCACTGGATTCAAAATTTTGATCTGTATGCCAGCCATTTGGTGCCTCAATGCCCAACTGTAACAGCCAATCAAGAAAAAAAAGTATCTGGAAAGAAAAGCAGTCTGAGCAGACGCATCCAAATCTGCACTGCATCCAGCATTGCGATGTGTCATCATGGGAAAGCGAGACTGATGTACTGTCAACTGGTGGAGCTTGGATAAATCTGGCTGTCAAATGGCAAACTGTCCTTGAATGATATAAGCCTCTAGAGGTAGTCCCTCTAAGTCAGGGTTAAGACACACGAAAGGGGTAGTGTGAGGCAAGTTCACTGTTGCTGCCTGTGAGATACTTGTCCTGATAATCTGCAAAGATGATGGAGAGATCTGGGTTGAGGCTCAGTGGTAGAGCCTAGCAACTGTGAGGCTCTGGGTTCAATCTTCAGTACCACATAAAAATAAACAAACAGAAAAAGATACTGTGTTCCATCTAAAACTAAATATATATATATATATACACCAGCTTAATTAAAAAAAAAAAAAGGATGACTGGAGAACTTGGGCTTGGGTGGTAGTGATGGTCATACCCTCTGGGGAAATTGCCAGCAACAGCGATGGCCCACTCACTTGAATTGGGGTGCACATCCCCCGCCATCTTACAACCAACTTTTCCAATGAGAGAGCCACACTGACTAGCAAGGATAACTGGGAGTCTATGGACAGCTGAGCTACTGATGTCCTCTTTCAGTTATGCCAATGTCTATAGCAAATATGGCTAAAGTATGGGGCTGGGGATGTGGCTCAAGCGGTAGCACGCTCGCCTGGCATGCGTGCGGCCCGGGTTCGATCCTCATCACCATATACACAACCAAGATGTTGTGTCCGCCAAAAACTAAAAAATAAATATTAAAAAGAATATATATATGGCTAAAGTAATAATTTTCTCAGGATAACCCTTTCCTTGAACATCTTAACCAATTCTCTCTTCTGATGATACTACCAACTTCCTTTGCATACGTAAGTAGATGTGGAGGAGGAAAGGAAGCGGCGAAAGAGACCCAGGGGATATGCAGAAGGCATCAGGTTTTGGTTGTCGCCTCTGCTCATATGGGCAAGAGGACTGTAATTTATTCAGAATAGGCCAAGCCCAACAACAGTGTGTTGTTTTCTCCAGATTTCTGTCTTGCTTGTTGCTATCTTATGCTTACTTGCTCTTCAAATGATACCTGGTTAGGTAGTCTCTGCTTGAAAACACAGAATAAAAAAAGACCAACAATGCTCTGGGCTTTCCCCACTCTAACTGTGCACTCAGCTAGAATGATTTCTAGAGCTTCAATTCACTGTTTCTGTTTTACCTTCAGGGGCAACAGGGTTCTGGTTTCCTATCAAGCCTTCTGCTATAGGTTCCATACCCCCAGTTTGTTAATTTTCACACAACTCCTATTCTTCCCTTGAAGACTATCATAACCTCTGGTGCCACAAAAGAACACAATTATGGTTTATTACTCAAGACAAAAACCTGCATTCCACCAGGCTCCCCAATACCAGATATACCCATAACTCTCTGGAAGACAAAAATGGCTGAGGCCCTCTAAGTGAATGAGACCTAGCATTGTCATCTGTACCCAGGAGTTTAACCCTGGGTACTCTGAAGAATTCTCTGAGTCCCAGTTCCTTTCTATAGTGAGGGAAAAAAATGTAACAAAGCCAATACTTCCTGAGTACTGACTAGACACCGGGAGCTATCACAGGTGACTGATTTGCCATAGTAATTAATTTTATACCTCAAGACCCTACCAGAGAGATGGGACAGACACCATTCCCAGCCCCACTGGAGAGATGAAGTAGCATAGCCTGTCAGGCAGATCTATCTCTGGAGCCCTGTGCCCTTAACCATTCTATTGTACCCAGGATCACGTTGCCCCTATGTAGTTTGGCTGGGATTTGAACCCAGGTCCATCTAACTCTAAACCCATACACTTAGCCACGGCAACAGACTTCCTTCCTGAAATTGTCAAAGAGCCAATTAAACAAAACAAAGTATGTCTAAGCTCTCAATTACCTAACACATAACAGAAACTCAGAAAAAGTCAAATCTGAATGATAATTAAAAATATCTATTTTAGCGGCCGTGCTACTGCTAAGCCACATCTCTAGCACACACTGACACATCTCCCTCTTTCCCTGTCAGAATCCCACCCTGCTTTGAAACTCTCCAAAGGAAGCTATCACACAGGTCCAATAAGACCTTGTGTGCTTTCACAAATAGCTCAGGTCCTGGCTGAACAAGAGATTCTAATGCCAAAAGACATGTACTTCAACACTAAGATTCAGGCTCACTACTGTCCTCATGCTTTCTTTGCAACACCAGAGGGGAAATGGCTGCACAGCCTCACAGTACTACTAGTTGTCCCCCATAAAGCCAAAGGAAAAGTAGAAACTCTTTTTGCAGTACTGGGAACTGAACCCAGGGGGCATGTTAACACTGAGCTACATCCCTCAAACTTTTTTGAGACAGGGTTTCACCAAGTTGCCCAGGTTGCTATCCTCCTGTTTCCCGAGTAACTGGGATTACAGGTGTGCACTAACATGGCCAAAGACACCAACTTTTGAGTGGACTGTTTTCATGAAAGTTAGGATGGAACACTGAGTTTGATCAACTACCTAAACAGCCACAATGAAACACAAATGGTGAAAGCCAGGTACACAACTGAAATGACACTCGACACTGAGATGTAAACAGCTAGCTCTAGCTCCAAGATTGTGAAGTAATGCTGGGTTGTGTTGTGTGGTGATATGAAAAAATAAATAAACAAACAAATTATATATATATACATTTATATCTGTATGTGTGTGTATGTGTAAATATATATATTCACATTTTTTTTTTTTGAGGGAGTGTCCATCCATGGTTCCTAACTCACAACTCCTCGACTACCACCAAGGCAGGCCATAGAAACTAGAACATCTCCTTCCCAAAGGCAGGCCATAAAAATTATCTTTCTCTGCCTTTCTATCTTAGAGCTGGTCATAAAGAAATTCTGACCTACATTGTCTGATAGCAGACTATGAGGGGTCCTGTCCTGTATCTGGGAGGAAGGAATACGGGACAGAAAGGCCAAGAAGAATCCATAAAGAAAGGTCTTGCTGGGTTTCCTCACTTAGTCTATTAGCATTAGACCATAGCTTTTTTGCCCAATTGCCTTTCTACTTGTCTGTCCATATTTCCATCATGTCTATGCAATAAAATCTCCATAAAAACCCCCAAAGACAAGAGTGCCACGAGACACAGGTTTTCAGGAAGGTGATGCACCTGGAAAGGGCATGAGGATTCCAATGTCCCTTCTCCAATGCCTTGTCCTGATTATCTATATTCTTTAATATCCTTCATAGTAAACCAATAAACATAAGTGTTTTCCTGA